TAATATATTAAAACTGTTGGCTTATTATATTATATAATTATAATTATTATAATAATTATTGTTATTATAATTACATTATAATAACAATAAAATTGACAAGAGAACACCGTAATCCAATGTCAGCTTTCATCTGTAAGGTATTAAAACATTCATAATTAGACAGTGAAAAGTACAGTGAAAATGCACATCAAAGTGTAAGTTCAGCATAAGTAAGTTCAACATAAGGGGAAAAAGTGACAGAAACTTAAATAATGACAGAAATAGATAATTATATTCGACAAGACAATATTTATAAAATTATGTTACGAAATTTTGCAAAATATTTGTAATCTTACAATTATATAGGTATATTTGCAAAAACAGATGCAGAAATACTCTGATGTTTTCTAAAATATTGATAATTGTATGCGCAATTTATTTCGATATAATATTTCGATTTCTTGCTTTCTGTGCGAGCGTCCTCCGTTAGACCACCGAGGCCTTAATAATGTTCAATAACCAGTATATGTAAGAACGTCTTTTTCAAGCGACGTAAACAAACAATATTTAATGAATAAAACGATGTAAATAAACAATATTTACTTCTATTATTGATTGGAAGCCGTTTTGTCTGATTAAATTAAAAATGCTATTATTTTCCTCTCTTGTTGTGCATCGTTCTGCGCCAAGATATGTGCACAGATAATCCATAATAAATAAACGTTAAATTTGACACGTATATCTATTTATACGAATGTGGTATAAAAGGGTAAATAAAGTGAAAGCCATCCGTTGTAGTCAGGGTTGATAAAAAACACGTTTTTAACATGTTTTAAATAGTTTAAAACATGTATATGTAAATGTAATACATGTAAATGTAATAAATGTATATAATAAATATATATGTAATAAATATGTATATATGTATAAATGTAATAAATGTATAAATGTATGTATAATAGATATACGTGTCGAATTTAACGTTTATTTGTTATGGATTATCTGTGGCATATGTATAAAATGTTACAGGATCAAAATGAAATCAAGAAATGTATCTTGTGCGATGCGACAAACAGTTAAGAAATCAATTAAATAAAAATAAAAATTAAATAATATTAAAAATAATAATAAAAATTATTATGTAATAATAATATATAATTACATAATATTATATATTAATGTGTAATTATGTGATAATTTTAATATATATGACCTTCTATTAATTTTCAACGCATTGGAAACGTAAATTTTTAAACAAAATTGTTTATTTAACTTATATATTTACCCTAATCCTACAGTATCCAATTAATATCTTAAAAGTTTGTTGCGTCGCGCAAGATACATTTCTGTCACATTGTATACTTCGATTCTATATGATTATAACCGATAGTTACACATATCAATAGATGGTAAATCGCGCTCTGAAAATTGTTGCGTGTTCTGCAAACCATCGAAAAAAAATGTCCGCGACTGTACATCATCACTATCTAGTTTTTCTAGGTAGTGACGAGCTAGTAATGTAACATTCACTTTTTTAGTGACTATGTTCAAAAAATCAGCCAGTAACTAGATAGAAAAAGATTGTAAAGTGACGATATCAGAAAATGTAGTCAGTTATTATACATATTAAAGCTTCTAGTAACTTTATGAAAAATACTATCTAGCACCTATCTAGATACAAAAATAAAATAACTAGATAAAAAAATAAAATAAAATAATAAATTATATATATATATTTTTTTGTAAGTACACACCCGAAAGTTTTTGGACAAATTTTTATTAAGAATTTTTACTTAGATATTACTTTTTTTTATTGTATTATCTTACCCTTGACGGCTATCTGTTGCTTTTCCACTGGTAGATTTTGAACTCGGGTCCTCAGGATTATGAATCTTATAATCCTGCTGCGCTACTTTCACTTATCGATATACGTCTTTTTCATTGTCTACATATGATATAACTAACTATATTATATTTTAAGTTATAATTTTTACATTAAAAAGTTATTAATATTACATACCCTGCCTACACTATACGTAACAGAAACGTACTATTTTGGTCGCAAAGTCGCAGAAAATATGTAACGGGTTTTGCACGTCGCATAGACTTGCATAGAGAATATAATGTATAGTTGGCAAAATTGATTCTCGAAGAATCTATGGCGGTGTTTAGCGTGGATAAACATAGGAGTCAGATTGGATTGAGTGTACAAACGACAGTGTACAATTAAAAAGTAAGTAATTGTTTTTTATTCTTTTATAATTATAATTTTTGTGTATAGTTTCTCTACGCATAATATTCTCTTTTTCCGCTATTTTCAAATTGAATAATACTAATCGATAGAAAATTTGTTGAGGATTCTAACCATATTTGCTACATTAACAGTTTTCAATATTTCGACATCAAAGACTTCATATATGACATGATCATAGATGAAGCCTGGATAAATATAATTGGATAAAATATCAGGTTAAGGCCAGGGTTGGGTAGTGCTAAATTAAAAAGTTAAAAGTTCAGTTAAAAAGTTAAAAAGTTAATTAATTTTAACTTAACTTAGTTACATTTTAGACTCCTA